TCTAGAGCCCAGAGGCTATAGAGAAAGAATACTTTCATGTGGAATCAAAGGCCGCTTTCCGTCAAAATTAAGGTGGGGAAGATTCCCAGGGGAGACCTCTCATTTTTCGGTCTCAAGATTCTCCAAGTGACGGTTCTTGTATGCTGCACATTCGCCTCCAGTCATACTCTCCTACTGAGAGTTGTATGGAATGACAGTGGCCATTTTGTGACATGTGCAAGGGCCAAAACACGCGATGAAGAGTTCTTTACATAAGTCGCCGTGGACTGTCCAAGAATGTGCTTTTCTTTGTAAAACGATGGGAACCCTGATACCAGAAATCAATAGAAATCATCAATATAGGGAACACCCCAGATCCAGGGTCGCCCAACACCACTTTTCCCCAGATAGCGGGAGCTATCGGGGTTCTTACTTCAAGTATAGTGCTTGTGCACTTTGGAGCCTCAGTGCTGGTGCTTCTGCAGGGTGCTGCTGCCAGATGTGTGGCTATGTGCGCTTTGGAGCTTGGGCGCTCTTGCTGCTGCAAGGTGCTGCTGCCAGATGTGTGGCCGTGTGCGCGTTGGAGCTTAGGTGCTGGTGTCGCTGCTCTGGTGCTGCCTACTCGTGTCTCTTGCTCTCTGGGGTCTATGCTGGCATCATTTCTCATTAAAGGCAACAGCAAGCTTGCAGCTCTCAGGAGAAGACGTCCAATAATCCAGGGATCTACCATAACGAGGAGTCGATATATCATGAAATAACCAAAACAAGCTCCGCACTGTGTGAGACGATGGGAGCCCGGAAAAAAACGATACCATGACCTTGCCACACATAATGAGTTTTGATCGCAGCACACATATTTATATATTACTATATTATTTACTATAACTGGTTGATTTTGAGCCGTGTTGGTTGATTGCTGGTAGTAATGTGACAACCTGAATCCCTTTGTGCTGTTTTTGAACTATCGGATGCCCAACAGAAATTTTGTTCAGTGGTACGAGACCTCAAAATAATATCCTATGAGCCTATAATCCCTCTTTCAGAATGAAGAAGACGGGCCCCGAGCCAACAAAACTCTATATGAGTCTTTAAAAGCATGCTTTTCGATTCGGCCTTGGTCCACAACTGGAGGCACGGAACCCCTTGAACCCAGAAATGAGATGAATTGAGTCTAGAGAGTCTAGGCTAAATGTTATTGCCATATTGAAATTGAAACTCTTATTGATACTGCAACAGGCAGGGTTCTGTATCCAGTTTCATGTTGTATACAACGAATGCGGTGACTGCAGCTTTATGAATCAGAGCTCTCAAGATAAGCCAATAAACTCCTCTTCACCATCTTCCACCTGTTACAACACGTGCCTTCCCCTGAATCAAAAATTCTGCTTGAGTTCTTTTGAAATACGGGGTCCCCCAAATAGGGCGACCTCTAAAAAAGTGAAGAAAATATAAAACAGCCTCAAACCGCAAAGTCGCCTAGGACAATTTGATTGAACACATCACGTAATATGCTTTTATTAAACGCGCGCCGCAAGTTGACAAAGCCTCCAAATCGAAGGGTCTTCCTTTACAAAACGCAACACTTATATTGATTCTTTGATACTCTTCTCTTGTAAAGTATGAGACTAACAACTCAAAAAAATCAATAGGCGATGTCGGTTTGTGTGTGCGCCACGATTTGGCAAGGCCTCAGTGGAAAGTGCGTTTGTGTGGCTCCATGCCATTGGGGAAGGGCGCACACATGCGTGTGTAAATGCAGCATGCCGCTGGTGTGCGGCATGTTTTAGTGATTCTAGTGGGTGGGTACTGGGCGCCTAATTCAAAACCAAGTGCAATGAAAGTGACGTTGGGGACGTAGTAGGGTACTTAAGGCCATAAACAAAGTGTAAATACGGGTGTCGGGCATGAGTCATGGAGCATCTTAAGCTGGGTATAGTCTTTGTCTATAGAGTTTGTTCGACAAATTCCGACTTGTCGACATCATGCCTCTCGTTTCAGCCAGAAATGATCTGAGATAGCCAGGGTAGGAAATGGCTTGCCAAGCGCAAATCAAGAATTCCATGGCTAGGGTGGCTTGAGGGGTTGCATGAAGTGGATGTCATCACAGTTTTGACATTCACGTTCAAAACAGTGCACCCCTTGGCCATGATCAGGACTTTCACGGCGCCGGGCAAATCAAATGCCGCAAGCTGGGATTGTTTTTCCCATGCGAGACTAGGGGGTAGCTCTGAATTGTTGTTCAATTCTCAATATTCCTCGATATGCATTTGTAAGATCCATATTTGACATCACTTGAAGAGTGGAACATCATCCGTCATCCCTTCACCATGAACATATAAATATATATGCGCGCAACATGTTAGTTGTGCTCATGGTGTTTTTCACGAAAGCCAGCCGATAGGCTAGGCGGAAGTTGGGATGGGCGAATGAAGTGAGTAAAGGGGTGTGGGGGGTGGTCGCAGGAAGTGTAATTTCGGAGGGCGAGCCCAGAGCCTGGTGGGGGAGAGAGAAGAAAACTACTTGGAGTTTGCGAGTGGTTTTTGGGGTGTTGTGATGCAAGTGATGTAATTGACGGCAAAGAGTTCCACCAGGGGGAGCTCATGTCGATATAGGAAAGCAGTGACAATGGGACGCGAAAAGTGCTTGGAACTTTTTGCAGGAAAGGGAGACGCGCGTATTTAAATAATCTTCGACCAGGGGTGAAAGGGAGTAAAGAGAGGAGTGCGTCGCTGAACGCACTGTTGTCTTGTGGAAATGATGTGATCTGCGAGGGCAGGAGAGGGAACAGAATGCAGTGGGGAAGTGATTGCAAGAAATGGCTTGGGGGTGCTCCTTTTTAATGAAGACGCTGGTCAACCATACGCAAACGGGCGCCCCATATGGGGTGGGAGTTCATGTGAAGGATAGGCATAGCGGGGAGGAAGTGATAGGAAAAGAGTTGGGGAGTTCACCAGGGAAGCGAGAAGTGCGTTGCTCAGCGGCAAGGGAGATGTGCGTCTCCAGAGGCTATTTAAGCAGTCTTGTACCAGGCGTGGCTACCGTGTCGACTTCACCCCATTACACTGCATGCTATTCACGTCGGACCACCATCTACAAAGCAAGGATAACGATCAGCGTGCAAGCGCCCGTCAATTCCTTCGGGGTGCCTTTTCGCAGCCTCAAAACACCCTTAAGTCAAAGGAAAAAGGGCACCCCCCCAACTTATATCTTCTGCTTTCTATTACACCATGACAAGGCCGCTCTTTGCCCGATGTGAGACGCTCACTTGCCTGTAACATCGGGTTTAAATCCTATATCTTCTGCTTTCTATTTCCAACGGCTGTAGACATCACCGCCATGTCGACTTCCCCCCATAACAATACGATCCATTCTTAACAGCGCGCCAGGTTTATGAGTCCATCCATAAAACAAGAAAAACAAACCGCAGACAAGCAATGACTTCGGGGTGCCCATTTTTCTCCCCTAGAAGAAAAAGGGCCCCCCACCCCCCCCCACCCGTGACTGAAGGCCTGTCATTTCGGCCCCGCCTTATGCATCCCAACGCTTCCCTTGCGCTCTCGCGTTCACCCCCGTTGACCATGTTCATATTTTCTCAAGCTGGCTTTCGTCCCCTCCTTTCTCAGGTGCCATGAAACATTGCTAAACACATGGGCCTGGAAATGTCATTTCCAAGTAGATTGAGAGACAGTCACAGTTTGATTTTTTCCAGGAGCGAGACTCAAACTCAATCATAAAACTATAGGATGGAAAGTTTCCAGCGCTGAAATGGCGGCAGGAAATCAAACTGGAAAAGAAGGGCAAGACCGTCTCTTGTTCAAATTTAGTATCAAAGATGGATTTGCATGATGGAGTTGAGACTGATTGAAAACATTAGATTCGGGATTGGATTCTACCAAATATATTTATATCGTCTCAAAAACAATCGGATAACACATATCATATGAGAGATCCAAATCACCGATTTTTTTGTTTTTTTCCTAACGTATGGCACAGTTGGAAACATGTTCAACCCTCGGTAAGTAAGTGGAAGGATTGCAGAAGATGATGTATAGGTAGGCCTGCCTCGCTTGGTTTGAAGGGAAAGCGAACCTGAGTTCCAGCTCGAATCGGTAATCAAGGTTGGATTCAAGGTCGACACTTCCTTGAATACCTACGGACTTGTGATCGAGGACTCTGACTTCGTTCCTGTGGAGAGGACACAGTGAGGTTGAAATAAGATTTGGGATGTCTCCGCAACAAGTGCAATGAATTCTGCAATCAATAGCATCCTTCTATTCCATATTGAAGGAGTAGATTTGGGATTTTGTCATTTCCATAATCCTAAGAACCAAACAGGGGGGCAAACCTTTTGTAGAGGTTGTACCCTCAAAACCGATTCTGTTTTACAGAGTCACCTGGTGGGGGACCTTTACTGTCACATGGTGCCACCCTTAGCTCACCATGCACAGCCAAGACTTGCCTTTGATCCAGATATTCCTCAGAGACGTTCAATTTGGAACGGCCTCTTTTCCCAAGCCGCACCCGCTGGACGTAACAAACAATGAACCTGAATTGCCACATGAGTTCAGCTCAGACACATGAAAGTTAATGGGTAATTAGATGTAATTAGACAAATTCTTGGAACGATGTAAACCATATTTGCAGTTGAATTGCTGAATATGGCTTCAGGACTTGACCGA